GAGGTGCCGCCTTTGACAAGGGACCGTTTTTTGCCTCCGCACCACTTTCCGTCACTAAAGCTGATGAAGTCTTTCCTGTGGAAACTGTGGGCTGTTTACTGATGACAGCCACAGAATCCTCCGAACCGAAGGGCATCAAAGTGGAGCTGAATATTGCAGGAATGTGAAAGTTGTTGGCGTGGAAGGAGGTGGGACCACCACCGGAACCAGCTGAACCACCACCACCACCCGAACCAAAGTACCCGGGCGGGCCTGATTGGGGCGGCGGCGACGTCGAATTGGAGGGCGGCTCCAGCGGCGGGTGGAACTTGTCCAGGTGCTCCGGCACCGGGTGGGGGTTCATCTTCACGTGCGGGTACTTCGCCTTGTGCCGCTGAAAGTGCACCTTCAGGTTGCCCTTTGTGGTAAAACGATTTCCGCAGACGTTGCACTTGAAGGGCCGCTCGCCGGTGTGCGAGCGAATGTGAATCTGCAGCGCCGAGTCGCTGCCAAAGACCTTGCCGCAGTAGCGACAGCGATGGCGACTTCCCGCCTCCTCCTTCCCATCTTTTCCTCGTCGAAAACTGAGCAGATCTCCCGTTTCCGAGGTCCCGTTCAGCAGGAAGCTCCCGCCGGACATTGACTCCTGCAGCGCCTTCTCGGTGTGCTTCTGCAGCAGCTCCAGCGTGTTCGGGCCGGATGGGCAGTAGTGACTGGCAGAAGTTCCTGAAGTATTTCCTTCTTCAGCATCGCCTTCAGAGCCGCCACCGCCGCCTCCTCCTCCACTAGCGAATCCATCCGTTTTGGGTGGACTCATCATCGGTGGAAGTGGGGCGTCAGGGTTGCAGCTCTCCTTTAAGTCTAGTAGAGAGGTGATTAGCTTTCGAGTGGTGGAGGGAGGTGCTGGAGGTGGAGGTTGAGAAGGTGCTGAAGTTTGTCCTGCTGATGCTGCAGCAGCTGATGATGATGATTGCGCATTGTTTTGATTATTGTTGTTGGTGGTTGAAGTGGAGGTACAGGAGGAGGCGGAAGATGAAGGTCGCTGGGGCTGATGTTTTTCAGTCTCCTTTTCCTCAGACGCATTCTTGCTGTTGTTGTTGTTGACGCCCACAGTGTCGCTGATCAGTCGCTCAAAGAGCGAAGAGGTCTGGGCGGTGTTGTACCGAGGAAGGACTGAAGATCGTCGCTGATTTTGCTGCTGCTGCTGCTCTTCAGCCGCCTCCTCCTCCGCTGAGGGTGATTCTCGCTGCTGCTGTTGCTGCTGGTGAAGAAGGTGGTGAAAGGGGTGGCTGTTGTGACCACCTTCAAAGTGGTGGCCATTATCACCGACGGTGGTGGTGGAAACCAGCGAGGTTTTGCCATTGTTGTTCTCCTGAAGATGTGGCTGCTGATTTTGTTGTTGTTGTTGTTGTTGTTGTTGTGCAGCTGCCGCCGCTGCCGCCGCCGCCAGCAAAGGCAGCGGCGGCAAAGCTGGCCCAGAATTGGCGGCAGCAGCAGCATTGGCCGCCGCCCCGTGAATCTGCTGCAGCATATGAAAGAGCATCATCTGCTGGGTGAAGAGGGCTGCCTGCTCCTCGGG